CCCCCTTCCCAGCAACGTGCTGCTGGGCCCCGGAGGCGTGCCCAAGCTCGCGGACTTTGGCATGTCGGTGCTGGTGGGCGCGCCCGAGGCCGGGCAGCGGCACGTCATCGGCACCGCCGCCTACGCCGCGCCGGAGCTACTGGAGCAGGGCCCGCCGGCGGCCGGCGCCGCCGCGCTCAAGGCCGACGTCTACTCCTTTGGCGTGGCGGTGTGGGAGGCGCTGGCGCGGCGCAGGCCGCACCAGGGGCTGGACGGGTACCAGATCCAGACGCGGTGGATGCTGGACCCGGAGGCCATGCGCCTGCCGGGACCGGGCCGGGGTCGCGCGGAGCTGGACCCCGCCGCGGCCCTGCTCTGGGTAGGCAGGCTGTCCCCGGGGGGGAGGGGGGAGAGGGGGGGAGGCTGGTGGCTGCTCGCGCCGAACTCTCGCCAGGCATTCCACCGCCGACGGGGTTGAGCTCGTGGAGGCGGGCATGCAGATCGCTGCCAGCGACCTCGAACACTCCTTCCGGGCCTGAGGCTGGAGGCCGGGTGCCGCTGATGAATGTGCAGCGCCATGCATCCCCCTGGTCGCATGCCCGGCCCCGCCCACCACCTGCCAGCAGTCTGCACCGCGGTCCTCAGCGCCATTCCCTGCGGCAGGCGCCCGGGCGGCCCCCCCCCCCCCCCCCCCCCCCTTTGCTCCGTCGCGCATGCTTCCCATGGCAAGCAATGTGCTTGTTACATCAGAACATATCATTCTCGGATCCATGGACTGCGCGTGTCAGTCTACATCCCTTTCACGGCGCAGTACCGGGGGTGCAGCGAATCACCTGTCGGGGCGGTGTACCTACCCCGTTTCGACCCCGGCCTGCCCCATGCAGTTCGATTGGGTGTGGATATGGGGCGGACCCCTTGCCGTCGCCAATCGTATCCCCCGCGAGCCCGCCCCGCACTACATCACGACACTTCCTCAAGGCATCTTCTGATCTCGGGACCATGATGTCGCTCACCAGTGTCAGCTCCCTGGGGGGCGCGGCGGTCGTGCACGGACCGTCGACCAGGCGCGCGATTCCCAGGACCGTCTCCTGCCCATGCAGGGCCCAGCAGTCCGAGCCGGTGCGATGGGGAGGCTGGTGATGGCTCCATCTGCGATGGGGCCCTGCACAGGGGTCTCGAAACCCTGTGACGAGGGGGGGGTTGAACGCATCCCGTCATTATCGACCGAGATTCCCCGAAGAATTCCCCCGGGTGCTACTGCCTGTCGGTGATGAGGCAAGCTCGCGCCATGCAAAGGTCATGCCTCAGCACGCATGCCCCCATGCCCACAGATGATGGAGCGCCGTGCGGCCCTGGGCCTGCTCGCGGGAACCGCTGCCCTGCTGGCCGGTACCGGCGCGTCCCAGGCCGCCTACGGCGATGCCGCGCGCGTGTTCGCAGGCAAGATCACCAACAAGTCGGGATTTGTGCCCTATGCTGGCGAGGGCTTCGCCCTGCTCCTGCCTGCCAAGTGGAACCCCAGCCCGGAGCGGGACTTCCCTGGAACTGTGCTGAGGTGCAATGAGGGCGTGTGCAATGAGGGCGTGGGCGTGGGTCGATTTGGAGCAGGGTTTCAGCGTTTTGGCTTTTGCTGTGCCCAGCAGGCTCCTGTGCATCACTTGCGCGGGTACATTCGGAGTCTGCGGTGCTTGCATGTCACTTCCATCCATTGTCGAGCGATGCATGCGTTGCATGCCAAGCGTATTGCTGTCACTGTCTCGGACTCTACATGGTCTTGTGTGAACTTGCAAAGTTCAGATTTCCTCGCCTCTGATGCACAGGTATGAGGACAACTACTTCCCGGTTAACAACCTGATGGTCATCCAGCGCCCCGTCGGCAAGAACAGCATCGAGGACCTGGGCGCGCCTGACAAGTTCCTCAGCGACAACGCCTTCCTCTTTGGAGAGTCTGCGGCCTGGAAGGGTGAGGCGGCGGAGGCAGCAAGGGTTGGCGGCTTGATGTTTTTACAAACTTCTCGTGGAATGAGCATCGAATGCTTACAGGCTGGCATGCTTTGACGAATGCTTATGTCGGCCGGTTTCCATTCGTCACTCTCGTCCCCACCCAACCCACCCCCCCGCTGTTCCTAGGTGAGTCGCGGTCCGAGGGTGGGTTCAAGCCCAACCAGGTCTCCAGTGCGGCGCTGCTTGACGCCGAGGAGGCCACCGACAAGAAGGGGCACAAGTACTACAAGTGAGCAAGCTACATTTTTGACAGCCCTGGGAAGGGGAAGAGTGTGTGTGTTGGTGGAGCTTACTCTGGCACTACGGATGGCGACTGAGGCTGGAGCCCATCTGATTGCAGACTGCTGGGGAGGGCATTGCATACCGGCACCCATTTCACAAGCCACCAACGCCCCCTCCTCCTCCCGCTTGCCAGGTACGCCGTGCTGACGCGGTCGGCAGATGGCGATGAGGGCGGGCGCCACCACCTGGTGACGGCCACCGTGTCCAACGGCAACCTCTACATCCTCAAGATCCAGGCTGGCGACAAGCGCTGGTTCAAGGTGTGGATGGGTCGGGGGGGAGCCGGCAGGGAGCAGCAGCACCGAGTGCCACGCCCAGTGTATGTCCATGCCATTCCAGTTCCTGGAAGAGGAGCGCTCACCCAAAGCGCCCGCATGTCTCTATGCAGGGTCTCTCCAAGGATGCCCAGGGTGTGGCCAACAGCTTCACCGTGGCCTAGGCGCTGCGGCATCGTACATTGCGGCGAGAAGAAGACCTGTATTACGATAATTTTGCCAGCATGTGCACAACAACCACTGCCACTGAATGGTTGGCATGGGCCTGGTGCAAGTGCCGTGGACACTGACTGGGTCTGTAACAACAATTCTACTGAGAGAGAATTCCCAGCGCTCCTGCATCCGCGAGGCGGGGAGGGCGCGCGTGGCGACATTGTCGCCGTAACAAGCGACGGCATCGCGCACAGATCCGCGAGGTAACGGCATGGTAGGTCCAACTTAAATTTTGCGCCGCAACCTGTGAGGGACAGCACTCCCCATCGGTCGAGTCCTCCCCATCCGGTGATGTCGAGGTAGGGGGTGGGCCTGCATGGGCGTGCAGCCCAGCGAGGACGCGCTAGGGCGTCTTCTGGACAAAAACCGCAAGCTTTATGGGCAGGTTGAGGCGCAGAGGGGCATCATCGACCGACTGGAAAGCCGGTGAGGGGTAGGCATGGTGAGGGGCACCTGGCCGGGCACGAGACATGGACTGGTCCCTCAAGCTCCCTCCATCACTCTCCACCAGCATATTCAAGCTGCAAGAAGACGAGGAGGTGCAGCAGGAGACGTTGCTCCACGTCAACAGGGCGTGGGACGAGTTGAATGCCTCCATCGACTTCTTGAGATACAGGTGGGACCCAGCATGATCAATTCCCTCGCTCTAAATTTGGCAGCGCAAGTGGCCTAGCAGACTGAGGCGAATGGTGTCGCCTGATGGTGTGTCCTCTGACACCTCGCAGGGCTGGTGCCGCACCCGAGCCGTCAGCAGACAACCATGCAGCTGCTCAGCTGCCCTCGACCGACACCTTGCTGCTGGCATGCTCCCCCTTTCTTGCTCGCTTGGCGTCCACCTGCTTGAACTCCGACGCCCTGGACTCGGCGGAGCTGGAGGAGGGAGAGCCGGAGGAGCTGGAGGTTGCCCTGTGCGCCAGGTCTGCCGCCACCTCCGCGGCGGCCGCAGGGCTCCTGGACGCCATCGAAGCCCTCAGGGCTGGTGGGGTGCCTGGGAAGAGGGCAGAGCCAGACGCCGCGGCAGAACCTGCCTCTATCTCGGAGCAGATTGCGGCCACGCGGCCCTTCGACCCCGCCGTCGAGCCACAGGCGCTGCTTACCCTTGTCAAGGCCGAGAACCGGCGGCTGCGGAGCGTGGCCCTGGCCAGCGCTGCCCGCGTGAAGAAGCTGCAGACCAGCCTGGCAGGTGCCTGTGGTGGTTTTCTGTAGAGGGCAGGAAGGCTGCAGTGTGTAGAGAGTAGTTCTTTGGGTCAGATTGGAAGGCATGGATCTGTGTGATTGATATCATGTGTTTGAGGTCTGCTATGGGGTAGCCAGGGTGCTGGAGCCGGCCGGCTAAGCCCAGTACAGTGGGAGAGCCTGGTTACGAGTACCTTTGTTGAGCCAGAACTTCCGTCCGTGTCTGCCATGAACAGAATAAGACCAAATGATTCTTGTTTGCGCAACCACTAGCTCACCTGGCCACACTCCAACACGCTCCCCATCCAGACCGCGAAGCCGAGTTCCACGTGGCCCAGCGAAGGATCGCACAGCTCAAGGCCAGGTCCCAGGGAGAAGAACCACCGAGTGCGGGGTCCAGCAGCAAGGAGGCCACCCCCGAGCCGCCAGTTGCCGCGGCGGACTCCCAGGCGCTGACCGAGCTCCAGGGCAAGGTTGCGGAGCTGGAGCGGGAGGTGGAGCAGGGGAGAGCCGACCTGAGGCAGGCGCAGAGGTGAGTGGGTGGGTGATCGGTGCGGTCCTACAGCCAACAGCCTGCAAAAAGCACAAGCACCGAAGTCTGATGCGCTTTCCACTGCGCCAAAGCAGCTCGACTGGGTGATCAGCCGGCGGGTACAAACCGTCTGTGTGTACTGCTTGAGGGATTCGAACCCCCGACCCTCAGATGGCGATCGCTTGCGAAGATGCTACAGGGCAAAATTCCTTTATTTCCCGCATATACCCGGGACGGACCGCGCTGTGCAGGTTTCGCACGATTTCACGGCCATGAATCTCCGCACGGCGCCTCACGCCCTCCCACGACGCCCCTGCCGTCTCGCCGCAGGGACGCCCGGGCCCTCCGGGACTCCCTGCAGCTGGAGCGGGACGCGGCGGAGCGAGCCCGCTACTTTGACTCCCAGCGCCTGGCCCGCCTGGACGCCGAGTTCAAAGGGCTGGAGGACGCCATGCACCACGCGCACGCTGAGCGAGACCACGTCCTGCGCTGCCTGCACGACGCCGAGTTCCAGGTGGGGCTGACGATTGGGGGCCGAGGGCGGGGGGCCACGGGGCGGGGGCTGGGCCGGTCGCTTGAGCCACGCACGCTGCATTGTCACCTCTGGCCTTCGACAGGCTTTGATCATTCGCTCCTCCCCTTGGCTGCCTGTGCAGCTGGACGGCGCGGCCTCGGTCCACCGCCGCCTGGCGTCGGCGGAGGCTCAGATCGCCGCGCTGGACGCCCGGCTGGCCAGCGCCAGCGCGGCCCGCGCCGAGGCCGAGCTGGCGCTGGCCGCGGAGAGGGGCAGGGTGGCCGGCCAGCCCACCGTGGCGCACCTCCAGGAGCTGCTGGGGACGTACAAGGTGGGCATGGAGGGGGAGGGGGGGGGGGGGGGGCGGGGGAATGCGCACCGGCCGAGCACCGGGTGTGCGGCGTGTCGTGCGGAAGGGGCGTCCATGCTGCCCAGGGGGTCATCCACGGCGTGTGTTGGGACGTGGGGGGCGGCCTCGGTGTGTGAAGGGAGTGGCATGGCGACGCAAGGCGATGGATCTGGCGAGAGGCCTGCCTCTCAGAGCCCCACCGTGTGAGGGAACCCCTGACCCTGACCCCTGATCCACGCGGGCTGCGGCCGCTGAGCGTGCGTGCCCCTCCCCTCCTTCTCCCTACAGCGGGACGTCGCGTCCCACAGGGCACGTATCGTCCAGCAGAAGCAGCGGCTGGATGAGCTGCAGGCCGCCAAGGACGCTGCCGACGCGGGGCTGGCCAGGCTCGAGGTGCGGGGACGACCTGGCTGCTGCCGTTCGGGAATCTGGTGCACCATTCCGCGCCCCTGCACGGTCACTTTCCACCCGCCACTCCGCTGCCCTTGATCCAGGCGGCGCATGCGGCTGAGATGGAAGCTGTGCGGAAGCAGCACGGCGACCAGGAGCGGGCGTGGAAGGTGAGAGGACAGGGGCTCGGGGCCGAGGCAGGGGCAGCATGTGATGCATGTCGTGGACACCAGGCTCAGGGTGTTTGGGAGCGCTGCTGTCCATCTTGTACCCCCCTTCCGCCGTGCTCCTGTCTGCGCACGACGAGCTGCAAGGGCAGGCGTGCCACCGCATGGGCCCCAGCCCCTCACTGATCCCCACAACCCTCCCTCCAAGGACCCGCCACCCGCCCCGTCTCCCCCTGCAGGAGCGCGAACAGGACCTGACCCTGTTCATGCAGCTGGTGCGGGACTACGACGCCGGCCCCGACCAGGCCCTGTGCGGGGAGCACGCCCGGTCGGCCGCGCTGAGGTCCGACCTGGGGCGGGCGACGGCGGAGCTGGCGGCGGCGCGGGGCGCCGACCCCGCCGGCGGCGGCGCGGGCGCGGGGGAGCCCGCCGCCCCGCCGTCCCCGCTCCAGCGCCAGCTGGCGGCCTGCGAGCGCCAGGTGGCCGCGCTGCGCGAGGAGACCGAGGCCTACCTGGCGGAGCTGGAGTCGGTGGGCGCGGCCTACGAGGAGGCGCAGGCGCGGCTGGCGCGGCTGG